GTTGTGCACCCCCGAAAAAACATGTTTTGAACCTAGGCTTGATATGAAAGGTGAGCTGCATGCCATCCAGAATTCCAAACTCACAGTCATCAGCACCAAAAAGCTATTCAGGGTGGCAGGAAGGCCCTCCCAATCAAAGAATGGTTCGCCCGATGCTTTCATCAGCTGAAAAAATCTGAGGCCTTTTGGCTCGTCGGATTGGTGTCTGCGTCACATCATGGATCCATTTTCTCACTCCTTTGGCAGCTGCGTTCCCTTCTGAAATCCACTTGTATCCAAGCAGTAGGGTGCCAGCATTGACGGTTGCCACTGGTATGCCCGTGGTAATTTGAAGCCAGTGTGACAAAACATAGTCGTCCCACGCTCAAACTTTGAGAGCGGGCGAAAGATGCACGAAGCCAGCATGGTGCGGAGAGCCCTGATTCTGCCATAGAGATACCAAGCAAAAAACATGCGAGGAAAGAGAGAAAACACAGTTGCGGCCAACGATTGGTATGGACCCGCTGGCTTGAACACATGTGCGGAATGTTTCGCACTCACACGGCTGAAAGCCAGAATTTGCGCTATAGATGCGACGCTTTCAGCCGGGAAGGCACTTTCTTCTTGATTTGTAGGGCTGGTCCTGAGGCTCGTGTCCGGGCCATGGAAACTTTGGAAATCGCTTCCAGAAGACCCCCTTGCAACCTAGGGCGCGCCAATAAATCTAATGCTTCTAAGCTACTAAGGTTGTGCCACGTCAGCGCAACAGACCTTCGATGCACTGATTCTGTTGAAGCTAAGCTAAGCTTGCTATGCAAAATTGCCTTGCGTGTCGTTCGGTTGAACCTGCTCCTGATTCGCCACAGTTGAAGAAACCTTGTGATTTTGAGCTGGCTTGCCGCACAGCGCTGCGTCGTCTCATAATCATACTCCCACAGCATGTTCCTTTTGATTCATGGGGTCCGTGGCAAGAAAGCATGTGTTGATTGGGTTCTGCTTGGGAAAAGTGGCAAGTAAGGAGCGGGCCTGCTGCCATGGTTCGTTTCCTTGGCCTTTTCAAGGGTCGGTGCTCACATTCACTTGCCACTAGAAGAATCAACAGCCAGCTCCTGTCAAGAAATTTGCCGCCAATTGCTGGGGTTTCATGTGAAGTCCCACGCTTGTCATGCCTCAACGTTTTTCGTCGGTTTTTGGTCCGTGCTGTTCGTTCTTGTAGTTATTGGAATTTCGAGGAGCAGTACGAGATCTTGCTCACCCTCGCCCCTGACTGTCAAGAGTATCGGGTTTTGCCTGAGCCCCACGACTCCAATGCTACGGCTTCCGAAGAACGAGGATTGTTTCAATGGGGCAAGTTCTACAAGCCTGCAGCGGCCCTCAAACTCTCGCTGGCTTTGTCCAGGCCATCTCCCTTCGACTTTGGGCCGGTTGGAGCTGCGGTACCAGGACCTTGGCGGCGACACCGCGCCTTCCAGATAGACCACACCTTGAACATCGTGGAAGCCTTGGAACGTTATCGACCCGAGTGGCGAATCAAGCAGTCTGACTTCATGCAGACCCAGATCATGTCCGCCAACCCTGAGCATCCTTTTATGTTCCGCCTGTCGTGTCACATGCGAGTTCCCGGTGTTATTCTGCCTTGATCAGTATTCTGATCGAACTTGGCCAAGTGGGAAAAAGAATCTACCTGGCCTCCATCCTTCGTCGTTCTTTTTATTCTTGTACTTGCCTGTTTTGCTTCATCCGTTTTTACCTTGGGACTCTCATAGTCATTTTGTGTCTTTTCCGTAGTCATTACCCAATCCTTTGACTATGTCCGGCTTGAACCGTGATTCCGCCATGGCGAACCTCCCTTGGCCAAACTCTCTCCTACGAGCTTCGGCTGAAGACATCACGGAGGGCGACGCTATGATGGCCCCATCTTCCAAGACAGTCCCCACCGGAGAGTTCCCGACCGCTATTGATGTCCCCTCTGCTGGGGTACAAGCGACCGACCCACCGCCCACCGCCCACCGCCCAACAACTATACATGACTGGTGGCACTAAGTTCATCACTCCTCCATTCCCTTTGGACGAGATGAACCCCTCCTCAACCTTACCCAATCAGATTGGCCCCTACCATCACCGACCTTACCACACTGAACAAGCCGTTCACACTATCACCTTCAAGATCTTCACGCGCAACGGCAACCGCCGCGAACTGTGGGTCAATGAAATCAACAATCATGAGTTTAGCCGCATGCGTGAACCTGAGCACTTCTTTTCTCAGCTCACAAGCAGTTCTGCTATGGCTCATTCATTTACGGACTGGCGACAATACTACAACTTACCAACTGGCCATGCTGGATCTCCGTTCTCCGACTTTTCACAGAATCAAGCCCCATTGAGCACTACACCTACGACATCATCGGTCCCAGAGCGCGCGACCCAATTGACAAACTTGGCGAGACAAGTACGAGTTCAGCATCCCCAGCCAACCTGATTACCAATGGCATTCCTGTGGCCCAACTTCAAGCTCTCGCTCAGGGACTCCACACTTTGTCATCGCAGCGCCCTACTGAACCTGCAGCCCCTGAGGAAAATCCGTAGACCGACATTCCAGATCATGGCGTGAACTTTTTTGAAAGAAAACAAAAACCTGCTTCGGCAGGGTGTGTGTGTGAAGCATCTGAACAGATGTGAAACTACTTCTACCTCAGTTCTTCTCGCTAGCAGTGAAATGCGATATCCAGCTTGGCCAGCTGGACGTACCTGCAATCCGATTATTTTATCGCTGACATGGCAGGGGGCTAAGCCGAGAACCCTTGAACAAAGTTTTGTACGGTTGTCGCAATCTGAGATTTTCTTCGGCATCATTTCAACCTATGTTTCCATGGCTTTTGGACATATTATTATTCTGTACTATTGGAACTTTGGCAAAGTCCTCGTCGAGATGCTTGGTGGCACATGGACTCTAAACTTGTTATTTCTTCTTATTATTGGTACCTTGACCTGGTCCTCGTCAACCTGATCGATTTTATTTCCTGGGTATTCCAATTTATTCCTCGGAGGTCGACCTGGCCTCGATAGTCTTGGTGCGTTGTTTGTTGTAGGGATTCAGCTCCCATCGGATCACCTCAATGATCCAGTTCTTGTCTAGTGTGTGATGATGTTGCGTGCGAAGGAGTTGTGTGTGAAAGAGTTGTGTGTGAAAGTGTTGTGTGTAAAAGGATGTGCGTGAAAAGGATGTGTGTGAAGAGTTGTGTGTGACAAAGTTGTGTGTGAAGGTGCGGAAGGAGTTGTGTTTGACAAAGATTGTTCTGAGCAAGTGTGAAAGAGTTGTGCGTGACAAGTGTGATAGTTAGCCTTGTGCCGGCGCCTTGTGGGCTCATCTTAGAAATTTTGAATCTTGAAAAATGCAGCATGTAATGCAAAAAAATGGACCTTAAAAATGCAGACAAAAAGCAACTGCAGAAAGAAAATGCAAAAAAAGGAAATCAAAAATGCACAAGACATGCAAATGCAAAAACGCAATGCAAAACAAATATAAATCAAAAATCATATGCTGTAAGTTCAAAAATGCAAATTGCCGAAAATGCTTTTGGACACCCGCTTGATTCACATTTAGGGGGCGTGCAAGATATGCAGTCTCGGTTGCCTGGTTTTCATGCATTCAGGTTCTTGAATTTGCTTCACATGCAATATGTGCAAGAATGAGTTTCAGTTCGGTTTGGGTTTCTGTCCCTGCATCAACACTTGAATGGGCACATCGATTTTCAGGAAAGGGTTGGTGGTTGGCACAGCCCCCCAGCCCAAGTCCCAAACGCTGCTTTTCGGGAAAGTGGGGGCCCGTTTCCCAGGGGATGACCCTACCGAGGGCCCATTTGTTTTGCTTTTTACCTCAGTTTTTTGCGATTTCTTTCAAAAAGTATCCAGTTTTGAAAGTCCCCAATTCGGATCGGGGACCTTCCCTTTCGGCTGGTCACCTGTCCACTTGGCAGGCGTGAGCCTCAACATTGGGCGTTCTTCTTCGGCTTCACGGGTTCACCTCGGACCTCCCTTTTCAAGTTTAATGTTTCCTTGGTCTTCTGCGCAGGTTTTACTACCTTGTCCAGGCTAATTTGTTGTTTCCATGTGTGCTGCATTTGGCACGTTCCCTTTTCCCTGGTTGCATTTCATCGGTCTATACTCTCCACATATGATGTCGCCTCCTTCCAACTTGCATTGGTTCCTTCATGTATTCTTCATTTGTCAAATGTGCCCCCTTCCAAGTTGCATTTGCTCTTTCTATTTTTCCTCCATTTGCAATTTTTGCCTCTTTTCAACTGGCATTTTGCTTTCCCAGTTTTTCTGCAATTGTCATGTGTGCCTCTTTCAGATTTGCATTTTCCAATTGTTTCTCCATGTTTTCAAGATGTAAACATCCTAGAACAAGCGCAATTCGACGGCACAAAGTTAGCCAGCCCAGTGCTGTAAGTGCCACGCCTGCCACACAAAGTGAACATCAATGTCACAAAGCGCCACGCCTGCCACGCAAAATGAGCGCAGATGTCACCAAACGCCACGCCTGCCACGCAAAGTGCCGCGGCGCCCCGGGCATATAGAGCCACGACGAGAGCCACGCGACGCCCCGGGCGACAGAGCTGACCAAGTGCGCCACCAGAGCCAGCCCAGTGCCGTAAGTGCCGCGCCTGCCATGCATGTCACCAAATGCGTGACAAAGTGTTGTGTGTGTGTGTGTGAGAGTTGCGTGTGAAGAAAAGTTGTGCGTGACAAAGTTGTATGTGACAAAGTTGCGTGTGTGTGTGTGACAAAGTTGTGTGCGTGTGTGACAAAATTGTGGGAGACTAAGTTGTGTGCGGAGGCGGTCGCGGACGGCGAGAGCGCACAACAGAAAACAAGAACCCCATACAATGATGCGGGGAAGAACCACACACAAAAATGTGGGCTGAAATACTGCACCTCTAGCACATAATTTGCACGGGGTACGTGATGTCAAATGCACTTCGAGCAAGAGATCCTTACCGCGTGACCCGTGACCATGCCTAGAATTGGTGTTGCAAAATGAAGAGTAGGTACCTCAGTTTCCAAGCCACATATCCATGTCATCAAACCGACACGAGCACAGAGAATACAATAGCTGGTAGAAGACAAAGACTATAGGGTGGAATTGTTTGCCGTTTAGGAGAGATAAAACCTGACCCGGCTGCGTGTCATCTAAGGCCGTAACCAACGCCACCGGAAGAATGCTCAACCACAGTTTGATGAGCAACGCGTTGTGCTTCCTTGTGCACTACTAAGGGCATACACACACAGCAGACACATCCACACCCACAGGCCACACGGAACAAACTTCATCTCAGTCACTGTCACCACATCCAATTTCTATTCTATTCGATCTGAGGCACTGGTAGCTCCATGGCTCAGGTGTGCTGCGAATGCATTCTATGCCTGCAGTTTTCTCTTGTGCAAGACAGCCTTCAATTTCCACAGCAAGGGATTGTCAATAGCAGCGATGGAAAGTGTTTACTGAATGTACATTTAAAAATATCAACAGAAACACAGGGCTCCCGTCACGTCCGTCAATGCTGTCTCGTTGGTATGGGGTACATGTTCAAAAATGGAGCTACAAGAAGCAGAATATCACCAAAAAGAACTTCCATTGCAGTGCACCTTCCATAGTCTGGACCAGGCTGTTGATTAGACTCTGCATAGCAACAACCTTGGATCACGGGCGAACTCAAACTACTTGGAACTACTTAGATTCTCTTATACGCAAAACCCGCACGTCCTTGCAATTATATGAGCATATTCAATGGAAACTGCAGACTGCAAGCGGGAGGGAGAGAGAAAGAAACACGCAGACTTCCTCATCACTGGGCCAGGGACCAAACGAACATTTTTCGTTGAACCAACATCGTACCTCAGAGCGCATGCTGCGTCCTCTAATTTCGTTGTACTGCTTTGCTGTGTCAATATAGATTTGAAATAGAAAGGCTTTTTGTGGGGGCGCAAAAAAAAACATATATTCTTTTTTTCTGTTCTTTACATCGCATCGCATCATGGCCATAGCCCTCCTTTTCAGCATTTCAATAGGACACAACAGAAAACGACACATAAAATCTCAAAAAAAAAACGCTCCCACAACAAGCCCCTCTCGCTTGCTCAGGAATCAGCTCCAGTGGCAAAGTCTGCCGCGCAAATTCTGGGATGCCGCGCGCATCAGCAATACGCTTATTGATGTGATGCGCCAAGAAATGAGGTCGGTGAGGTGCTGCAAGCAACTCCTCCGTGGAATGTTTAGGAAATGCTGAATCACCACACACGACATCCTCAACATTTCACAACATTCCACAACTAGTACGACAACATTGGAAGGCAACAGAATCAAAAGCGCAAGAAACCCATGCAAAAAGCATCATTACTACGCACGTCCTTCATGGTCTGAGTTGGTTGAAGGATCTAGAAGGGAACAGAAACCAATGAGATCCATCCGAGCACGAGGGAAACAGCCCGCCTGCAACACCTTTTCTGGCAGCAGAGCGCTGAAAGCCTCCAAATAGCGTGAATCAGGATCCTGCAAAGGGGAAAACACGGGCATGAAGGCCGTGCTTCCGAGCTCGCAGCCGTGAGTGGCAAATCACGCTGCTTTGAGCCGTGCTAGTCTTTGTATAAGCCAGGAATGACAAAACTTGAAATTTCAAATGAATAGAAAACAGCCTGTATGTAATTGAAATCCAGTGATGCTTCGCTTTCAGGGCACATACGGAGACAGTCACGGTGCTCATATTGGATTTATATTTATGAGCCTTTCAGACCAGTTAGCATCCTAGCCTAGACAACACATCTCAATGGCCACAGCCTGCAGTGCTTCCAGGTCCGAATATCTTCTCAGCAAATCAAGGGAGCAAAAATTGTATCTTTCATCTCAGAAATTGCATCACCAGCAGAATTCAGCAAGAACATGAGGGCAGCAACAAGCCCAGCGCAGTGGCCCCACTGCCGGCCCACCCCTCTCAATTCATGCAGGAACAAACAACCCAACCCAAACTCCGGACGCAATCCCCGTTCTTTTGGGGGCCATCGTATTGGGGACCATCCCCAGCAGGGCTTTATTGCCTCATCTACGAATCTACTTTATTTCAAGCAGGAGGCTGGCATGAAAATGTGCAAAGCCCACTTGTAAACTGTGCAGAATGGAAAGGTGTGAGTGCCCGAAGCACTTCAGTTCAGGGTTGAAGCAAATCCTTTGCTGTTTCACCTGTTTATTGAAGCCAAATGGTGGATGGGGTGGGGTGGTCAAAACGCATAGAGCCATAGAGCATTAAAAGACTGACATCTAAATAGGAAATGGGGATACGAGAAGGAAAAGGTGAAGGAAATGAAGAAGAAGATGATGGTGATAATGATGATGATAATGATGAGGATGATGAGGATGATGAGGATGATGAGGATGATGAAGATGATGAGGATGATGAGGATGAAGATGAGGATGAGGATGATCATCATCATCATCATGATGATGATGATGATGAGGGGGAGGAGGAATGATGACGGTGCTGGTGGTGGCGGTGGCGATGGTGGTGGTGGTCACGATGATTACGATGATCACAATGATCACGACAATCACGATGATCACGACGATCACGATCCTGACAATGATGACAATCACAACACGGAGGATGATAACGACGATGATAAGGACAGTGAGGACGACGACGATCACTACGGCAACGGTGGTGACAACAACCAGGATGGTGACAATGATGACGAGGATGGCGACGATGATCATGATGATGACCCTGAAGATCAAAATGATAGATGATGGAGTCAAAGTGATCGAGCACCCATAACTTCATCATAAGCAGTCATAGGTATTCCATTCACATTTTTCGGTCTGAGTTTCTGGGTTCAATTCGTTCAACTTCAAACCGCTGAAAGCATCTGTCAGGGCGCTCCAGCCGCATATGGAACTCGGCTGCACGCACAAAGGCATAGCCCAACATGCTGAGCTCAACAGCTAGCGCCTACACGACTGCACGAACCCATAAGAAATCCAATTGAAAACTCTGTGGTCCGTGCAAGCTGTGTTTTTATTTTGTATTTTGAGAGAAAGCCTGGACGAGCATGATTGCTACATGGCGAGAAATCTAAATCTAGAACACTTTGATACTGAATTGATACTGTTGATTGAGATGTTGGTTTGCATGTGACTGCCAATCCCTTACACCTTGCAGCTCACCTTGTCAGTGACAGAGAGACAGGTGACGTGATTGAAATTTCGCGCATGGGACAGCAGTTGCGCACCTGAGGGCTCGATGGTTTCCTTGGAATAACCGTGGTTTAAGAATTAAGCTATGCTTTGATATGATGACATGACATGATATGAATACTAAGCTCGTGTAGCATGGAACATGTGACCACTTGTAGGCATCTTTTGTTCGAACACAGGCAAAAGGGCGCCTGGGATTTATGAGGGTTATGAGCCCAAACCCCTAGTCCCTGCGTTTTGCCTTTTTTGGTCGGAAAGAAACCAAAAGGAAATCCAGCTGTTAGCTACCAGACCTATATAGGGGGTTACCGATGCTGGAACAATCCCTTGGGATAGAGGTGTTGCCAGTCCGTGATGGGGCCGGGCTTGGTGCTGGTGTGGGGGGTGTGGGAGGGGGAAGGGCCGCACTGATGGGTGATGATGGGGCTGGATACCTTGCAAAAGCGAAACAATCAGATGGGAAGGGTGTGTCTATGGGTGTGACCATGGATGCTGTTTCGAATCCTTCTGTAGATGGTTTGCAGAGAGCATTAGAAGCTGAAGTAGTCAATCATCTACCAATTTCAGAATTCGCAGTTGATGGAAGAGGTAGAGAAACTGAAGGCTATGATGTCACAGTCTGGAAAGGGATCCAACGCGTCATGGTCCGAAGTTGGGGGGTCTGCCAGTGCGGGGATTCCGCCTGAAGTTGAAGATGGAGGACGGAGACATGGGGGGTATCACGCCCTCAGAAGTGCCGCTCGAACCTTTGACTTGGGGAAGCGGGAAGTCCGGTTCACTCCAAATGGAACTAGGATCCCTGGAACGCCCCCAAGTAGTGGAACTTCGAACCATGTCACGTACCTCAACCTCCGCCTGAAAGACCTGTTGTACCTCCTTTTCCTCAATCCTTCATGTCGGATGGCAACATGGAGAAGTTTTTGGATGGGTATGAAAAGGTCGATTCACATCCCAAAGTGCTGAAGTCGGATCCAGTGCGGGAACCCTAAAAGAGATGACACTAAGGACTGCTAGGGCGTTTTGGTTGGGACAAGAAGTGGTTGCTCTTCAGGGCTCAATAGCTCGTATGACAGGTGGGAACTCCTTCAAATCTAGCGGATATTGGTCGAGGGGCTTTCATCCACCAACGGGTCCACCGGTCATGGGTTCGGATCCAACTGGTATGGGTGCTGGCATGGGTGATCGACGTCTTCAAGATCGGGCTAGCACTGCTGATCAACTCCATCAAGCTCGGGCTAGCATGGTGAGCAGTCAGCAAGAATGTAGGTCACTTGCTTGGTGGAAGTGGAGATCACCTTGGACAAGCTCGGGCTGGCAATCTTGGCCTGAAGCGTCCTGATGAATGTCCAGGTCACTTGCTTGGTGGAAGCGGTGAACACCTTGGACAAGTTCGGGCTTGTGCTTCTGGTTTTGAGCATCTCGGTGAATGTCCTGGTTACTTGCGTGGTGGAAGCGGTGAACATCAACAACAAGCTCGGGCTAGCACTTTGAGCACTGGTTCTTATAAAGAATGTCATGGATCTGAAGGTGCACATCAAGGTCAGGCTTTGCATGAACGTGGACCTCTCCGTGAATCCAAGTGCTACTACGAGCAGTGGAAGACCAGTTCTCCGTTGCAGCACGTCCAAATTCGTCCGCTGAGCTCAACGGCCATCTTGTACAAGTTGATGGTGAGATTTCAACCTGGGGGCGGAGGGCCTGCAGCAACTCACCACAATGCCCAAGGTGTCAACGATCCAGGAGGTTGCATCTGCAGTGCGCAATTGGCGCAGACACTATGGTCGGGCTCAGGAAGTCCAAGCAGTACTTCCCGACGGGGTGCTTTTGCTGAAAGCGTTGGATGAGCCGGTGCGGAAGATTGCCTCCTTGGATCCATAAGCAGCTTTTAAATTGGCCCAAAGCTGCATGCAGTTGCAGTTGGATGAGCGGCCGGACCACAACAGCTTGCGGTACTTCAGCCAGTGTCTTCTTACTGAGGCTGAAACGTTGTCACTGCTTCAAACTGCACCATTGACGACGTCTACAGTCACCACTGAAGCTGAAAGCAGGGTGATCAGAAGACATCTTCCAGTACCACCTGAGACCAAGACCAAAACTGGAGCCACTGTGGACAAGCCTTGCAAGAAGCCGGTAAGTCTTGTCGATGGATACATCCCTGGGAGGGGGTGGAAGACGAATTGTGGCGGCCGTGACCATCGTAAACAAGACTGCAAGGTGAAGAACACCACAGCAAGAAGCAAGGTGAGCCCACTACGGGCTCAGGGGGAGGACGTGGCAATGCAGGCTCAACTGGGTCACATGCATCACAAGTTCAACATCTACTGCTATGGGTGGAAAAGCTGGTGAGGCAGCGGTCAAAGTGGCCAAATCAACCATTGAAAGTATCAACAGCAACAACTACGGAGTCGGCCATGAGCAGATTGACGATGAGAAACCCGGTCAAGGCGGTGGAGATTGGGCACGTTCTGCTCAAGTACCTTCATGGAAATCCAGGTGGCGCGGACAGTTCTTGGCGGAGACTGGGGTTGGCGAGGTCACCTGACACCAGAAGATGTTGGAAGTATTCTCCGACATATCCTACGGCGCCAATGCCGGCCATCGGAGTATCCAAAGACTCGTGGTGTGTTACGCTGGGGTGCCTATCGCTTGGCAACGTGGGGCCCAGCCATTTGTAGCACATTCAACAGCAGAGGCGGAGCTCATTGCCTACTGCGAATCGTTGGTTGTTGGGAAAGCCACGCAAGCTTGGCTATGTGCTATCTGGGGGGAGGACATCAACAGCAACACCTTTGATCGAGATTGGCCTTGCTCATGGTGTCACTACATCTTCCTGGCGTGCGAGACATCTCAGGATCAGAGCCAGTGTTTTGAAAAAAGCTCTGAGCGATTCCAACATCAACCCTGGAAGCCGTTGGAAACTACTACATCTGAAGGGCACTGAATTGGTGGCTGATGGATGTACGAAACCTCTTCAAGGACAAGCTTTTGCCCAGTTTGTGGACGATCTTGGCCTCAAAAGGACGAGCCATGAAACTCAACCTGCATCCGAAAGTCGATCTTCAACGACTGGTACCGAAACCAATGGCGCGGCGATGAGAGCCTTGGTTCTTGGCGGGCTGTTGCTTTCTTCGGGGGAAGCGTACAATGACGATTCAGAGACTGATGAGAATTTCACCTTGATCTGGGTGACCGGGGCCATTCTCATGGCCATGGGCGCAATCTACACTGGACAGCTGCTTCATATAGTGCATCGAAGTTTTGTCTGAGAAGGTTGCGAGTGTCAGAGGAAGGCGAAAGTCTTAGACTGGAGCCGAGGAGGAATGACACTGCCACTGAAGAAGTGTTGGTGGTGTCAGAGGATGAAGCATCGGCGTTTTTGAGGCGACGAACCCGTGGTGAAGCTGGGAGCAGTGGACCTATGAGGGCTGCGGCAAGTCCTTCATCATCAAATGACGCTGGGTCTATGATGGGCCGTAATGATGCAACTTCATTCATGACTATGCAGCTACATCATCTGGTACCAGGCGACAGTCGGGCTCAACTGGCGCTACGTCTTTGAAAGCTGTGCCGCGATCGGGCTCGCGTGGTGGTGGTGGTGGTGGTGGTGGAGGTGGTGGAGGTGGAGGTGGTCGGATGTAGCATGGATGACACTACTTCTTCGGGTATGAGTTCGCAGTCGGGCTCTGCAGCGGGCGATCCTGCTGCATCGATATCGATGGGCACTGTGGCCGAGGTAGGTAGTGAGGTAGCTTCAGGACGCGACCTAGAAAGGCCACAAACTCCCTGGAATGAGTTTCAACATGCCAATAAGGGTAGAGGGCTTAACTCCAAGGTCTTGTCAAAGATCTACAAGGACCATAACGACCAGAGATTTTAGGATGCCTTCAGCCTACAAAGCATTTGGCTTGAGTTTTGAACCTCTTTTTGCCACAGCGGCAAAGAGGGAGCTCGTGTAGTATGGAACATTGGACCACTTGTGGCAATCTTTTGTTGGAGCACGGGCAAAAGGGCGCCTGGGATCTATGAGCTAAGTATTCTATGTAGTGACTGCATGTGAGTGACTAGCATCCTGGTCCAAATCTGCAGATTCTCAAATTTCTATAGATACGACATAAAGTGAATGCGCCTTCTCTAACCGGGGCCGAAAAAGCTATGTTTCCGGCACATTTCTCTTCCATGCCACCAGCGCGAAGCTGCTCTATTCATACCTGTCTTAAACTGGCTTGACAGGGGACTAAAGTGAGTGCTTGAAACTGGTCTGCGTATGTCTACATGCTGCTGGCGTCATTGATAAGATAATTTGGCTGCGGCACGGAAAGACAAAGTCATGAAAAGAGCCTTGGCAGGCAGCTTGGGGTGCGCAAGACCTCCGAGCCGCCTTCTAACAACAATGCTCAAGACATGGAAGGACATGAGAGAACTGACCTTTGAAACCAAGGTGAACAAGAAGAAAGAAAACGATGATGAGGAAGAGCGTTTGGCGCGAGAAAATTGACAACAACTGTCCAGGGGTGATTTCAAGTCAAATAAGAGGCTGAAACAAGCTGAGCATCATGGCTGTAGCAATGAAGCCTGTGCAGTTTTGCATGACATCGTGACCTGAGTGACAGAAAACAGTGCACAGCGCCACATACGAGGGGCAGCAGACCTGTGATTATTTTTGGAGGGGAGCGACCCAAGCAGGCCCTGTATGCACACACCCATGATTATTTTCTGCCAAGGACTTCAACAGCAGGATTTGGTCCCCAAGTAGAAATCCATCGCCCCGTCTTTCTCGCATCAAATCATCAGACCTGTCCATCTCTCATCCACCATTCCAAGATTTTGAAATATAGCTTAGGTAAACCCAAAGGGCTTCGTCTATAGGAACCAGATCTGAGGCTAAGAGCCTTACATAAACCAAAGACGTAAAGAACCAACATAAAACAACGTAAACGCAACATAAAAGCAAACACAAGTGAATCATAAACACATCGGAAACTCATCATAAACAGAACGCAAGTGAATCCACAATAAAACATAAAACGACTCATCAACAAAACACAAATGAATCCACAAACCATTCTGGCAGTCATGTGTCCCAACTGTCGCGCACGTGTTTCCATCTTCTCTGGAGGTGAGCGGAGTTATGTGACACAATGTTTGCTCTGTGTTTCACTTGTGTTTGACATACGTTTTGTTTGCGCAGCACTTGCGTCAGGCAAAAGTCTAAGATCTTATTCTGGGAAAATAAGATCTTAGGATTTTGACATACATAAAAAAATACAAGCGAAACACAAACAAAACATAAACAAAACACAAATGTAGCATAAATTTGTTTATGTTTTTGTTGTGTTCTGTTTATGTTTTGGTTTATGTTTTGTTTGTGTTTTTTGTGTCAATTATTTGCGTAAGGCCTTATTTTTATGTTTTTTTGTTGTTTTTTATGCTTGTTTGCACAAAAAAACACAAAAAACATAAAAAATAAGGCCATACGCAAATCATCGACACAAAAAACACAAACAAAACAGAAACCAAAACATAAACACGCAACAAAAACATAAACAAGTTTATGCTACATTTGTGTTTTGTTTATGTTTTGTTTGTGTTTCGCTTGTGTTTTTTATGTATGTCAAAATCCTAAGATCTTATTTTCCCAGAATAAGATCTTAGACTTTTGCCTGACGCAAGTGCTGCGCAAACAAAACGTATGTCAGACATATGTGAAACATGTGGGAGACATCAGTTTCACATTGGCTGCAGGTTTGTACCAGGTTTGGATTTCAAATTGGCAACTGCTTGACACAGGGGGGAACGGCCAACTCATGTTTCACATATGTTGCAAATTTCACACACATGTTTTGCTTTCTGTGTCACTTATGTTTCAATTATATTCCATTTATGTTTCGTTTGCGTTCCACATATGTTTTGTCTTATGTTTGACATATGTTTCATATACGTTTCACATATGTTTCGTTTATGTTTCACATATGTTTTTACTTACGCCTAGACATAGTTTATGTTTACGTCATGCCCCGTCCACCCTCTATAGAAACCATCCCTGGAGCCCCTTTGGATCAAGCCAAAATATAGCAACTGTTTTACAGGTCAACTAGCCGAAAACAATCAGCAAGTTAGCACTGTTTTCTTGAGCCATTGCAACGAGTATAAGAGGTTATAAGTGATACATATGTACAGTGAGACTAGTGAAAAACACCCCCCCGCCGCCCGCAGATTCCCGCGGAGGACGGAAGGAGAAGGCCGCCATGTAGTGACCTGAGAGCGGACAAAATAAGACATCACTGTACAACGTCAACCTCCATATCGTGCATTGCGGTCGTAGCTCATTGGTGCAAGAGGCAAAAGTGATCGGGTGCAAAATGCTTTTCTCCAGGCATGGCACGTGTTGGACAAGCGCAAAGGCAAAGGTCGGCCTGGCTTCCGCCAAGGCATAGGAGCATTACCACTGCTTTTCATCTGCCTTAGACATCGGAAACTTCTGTAGCAGGCAACCTAATGCGGCATCTGTACAAGTGCAAATGCAAATCTGGATCGGATGTTGGTGTCAAAAACTTTTGAATCAATTAAGATATTTTTGGGATGGAATTTTCATTTTGGAGTTTTGTTGCAAATCGATTGAAATGGTTGACCATTGGTCATTCTTCCATCCAATCGGCCACACCTTCCGGCAGGCATAAAACTCACGGCGTTAAGGTGAAACACCTACCATGGCTCATACTCTACCGTTCCATCAGTGAAGGTGCGCTTGAAGCGGCATGCCATCAAGCTCACAGTACTCCTCGCTCTGGATCAGTGCAGTCCTCAGTTCTTGCTGAGGGACCTCTTCCGCTGCAGTCGCAGGTGCGTCAGTGGAACTTGCCACTACCTCAGGCGCTGCAGAATCATCGGTCGTAGCAGGCTGTCTTGGAAGTTGAGCCGGTTCAGGAGGAGGAGCAGCAGCAGAGCTCGATGCAGCCGATCGGCCCCAGTCATCTCCCCATCCTTGTCCCTGATAGCCTTCTCTCCAATTCCATTGATTCCAATGGGCCTGCCCTCCCGAGCGGCTCGAGTAGTAATTTCTTGAACCCCAGTCATATCCTCGGGCCCAGCGACCCTGCATTCAACAGCCTGTTGGAAAATGGGGCGTTGCTGGGAACCCACGCCGATGCTTTATGGTTGGGCTGGCTCGATTTTGCCGGTGGACTAAATGACATCGCAGGATTGTTTCTTCGACCTCGTGGACTTCGCGAGACGCCAATGGAATGAACAGTACCACAACATCAAGGGCAATGACTACTCCTTCGAGGAGGAGGCGACTGCCTCCGATGTGGCTGATTTTCCGTAAGTGAGGACTACAAGAAGTGGAACTGGAGAAGGACGAGAAGGACTCAGGCTCAGGAGAGACTTTGATCCCATCAACAGACCTGCCAAGGGCAAGGGAAAAGGGCCCCTCGCTTTCAAGAGCTCAGCAGCCAACACCGCAAATTGAGGCAGTGTGAACAATCTGGCATGATGCGCAACCATGGCCTCCTTCGTGACGTCCAAGGGTTTCCGAATGTCTCGGGTCTTGTCCGGCATGAAGACCAGTCTTGTGCTGACACCTGTTCCCAGCTGCTTCTCTCTTTTCTCACGCGTTCGCCCCATATTGGGGGAAAGGCACTTCGCGAGCTCCTCAAGGAACTGGCAGCCATGGCATTAATTGAAGAGGTAATATGGGTCTCTATTCCATTCGGTCCTGGATAGAAGTGTACCCCATTTTCCCGTACCTGCCAGCATGCGTTTCGGCTGCGTCCTTCAAATTGCCGAAGTTGCTTCTGCCGCACGCCTCTGATCAGCTCTGGTCCGATCAGAAACCCGTTGACCACGTGGCTGCTTCTCGAAGTTGATCTTGTCGAGGGAGAAGACTTTGTTGGTCTTTTTGGCCGTGATTTCCATCCGGCATACTTCGGTGGCGATACGCCCATCTGACCACGCTATCAGCCATTTGAAGCAAGATTGACACTTGTGAGTGCCTTCGATGTTGTTAATTTTCTCCACAGAAATGACATCGCACTTGCTGGACTTCCACCTTGTTATAGATGTAATCTTCAGCATTGGTTGAACCAACGGCCGACCCTCCTGGGCGGCTTCCTTTCCCTTGTCCCTTGCCACGACCCTTGCCTTTGCGGATCGTCTCGGCGTTGGAGAGAGCTCCAAATTAAAGCAATCTTCATGATGATCGTGTCGCTGAAGGGGCCATGCTGGCCTGTCGCCCTTCTCGAGGAAACTCTTCAAATTCGCCCGTGCCTTCGCACAAGGACTCTGCGACAATGCTTCACTTCGGGGAGTGTTGGCGTCCCGGTTCCTCTTGATCATCGCATTGTAGCCATTCCTGGTCAACTCGTAGGGGCGGTTGACCCAGGCGAATTCTCGGTTGGCCGAGTCATAAGAGCACACCTGACACTCGTTGCTAATCCAGTCTGGGCTGATGATGGCTTCGTCTGTGCGGAACAGGCGGCACCCATTCTGCACGACCAACTCGGTGTCGAAGGCGAGGTAAATTGTTTCCCGGCTCGCGTTCCCCCGAGCTTCTTGCCCCCCACTCCTTCATCCCATGGGTGCGAAGCAATGAAAAAGTTGTGAGCTCGGCCGGTTCGATTTGGCCACCCGGCAGGGATCAAACCATGCTCGATGACTGTCTCCATTGCCATCCTGTCGCACGAGTGATAGATCACTCTTGGCAGCTCTTCCATCAACTCTGGCACAAGATCAGGCCTCAGGTTCGTCCGAGGAAGCTTCACGCCGTCCAAGTCCTCCTTCTTGTACAAAGGGTCCAAAGTGAAGACCTGCTTCACGAGGCTGGAGATCGTCGCATTCTCCACCACCACACGATTGTGACCTTGCACAGAGATCTCGCCTCAAACTCCATGGACATGTCGAGGGGGTCCATGTCGGGAGATGGGGCTCCGTAACTGAGAGCGTGACCTCTAAGGATGTACGAAAGCTTCGTTGAAATGAAGCGAGCTCTTCCCTGGCCACAGTACTCTCGTGGAATTCTCGAAGCCATGTCGTCCGGATCGAGCCAGACGGCCCCCTCCTTCCCCTCCGTGGCCTCTTCAAGTTTCTTTAATGCTCTGTCGGTCTCCGCGTTGAGGCAAGGGCAAGGGGTTTTGGGCCGAGGCATTGCCTTGATCCCTGGAGCCATCTGCTTCTCTGGCTTGGGCATCTTTTTCTCGGCCGGCCTTCCGACTGGCTTGTCAGCTTCCATTGCTTTTGAAGTCAGGTCGACAATCGCAGTCTTGTCCTCGGCAGGCTTCTCAGAAGAAGAGGCAGCTTCAGGTTCAGTATAGAAACATTCGACTCACCCTTCCGGGTGGCTTGACCACCCTGCTTTGCTTCATCCACCTCCATTGGGATAACCTCGGCATCTCCAACCATGCTCACAGTTGAGATCCCAGACGACTTCATCTTGTCCTCCTCCGCAGTTGATGGACCACCAGTGGACTTGATCTCGTCCCATGATGATGTGGAGTCCGTCATCTTCTTGGCAGGGTCGATCACAAGTTCAGCGGCCGTCGTTCCCGAGGGCATGGGCTTGGATGAGGTGATCTCAATGATCTTGTTGATGTCCTCAAACTCTT